TTGTAAGAGCTCGAGGGGAAGACCATGACTAGCGTTGGACTAACCACGGTTTCGTGCATTTGCATCCATCATACATACATAAGTAAATATGCATAATTAAAGCGAGTAGGCATGTGAGCACGTAATTCACATAACACATAACACATAAGCATGCATATCTAGATGCCAAACCCTAAGAAAGCAATTAAACACATAGCACATACGCATGCAAATCACACAAAGAAAAAACAAAGAAAATCCTAACTATTACATTAGGAGGGGGAAGCCTACTACAATCTAAAAAGGGAAATAAGAAGGAATAAAACAATTAAATCCCTAACTATTACAATTTTGGCATTCGAGTGCCTCCCAAAATAATCAAAATTAAATTTAAAATTAATACGCAAAATTAAAACAAATAAATAAATAAATGAAATAGAAATAAATAAAAATAATAAAAAAATTCAAAAATCATGCAATTACACACATAAAATCACATAGGAGCACATAGAGAGATTTAAAATAATACAAGAAGATACCTCTCTTGACGTAGTAACTAATTGGGGTGTGGATTTGCCCTATTTGAAGCGTTTAAATGGAACATAATTCATAATTAAAGAGGAAAAGCAACTTCTATTTAAGACAACAAATCTATTAGGGACCTAATTGCAAAAATTAAGAAAGTTTTAGGGGTTAATTTGTAATTATCGTAAAAAGATTAGGGGTCAAAATTGAAGAAAATAAAAGTCCAGGGACCTATTTGAAATTAAATTAGGGACCTAATCGAAAGAAAAAAAAGGTTTTAAGGCCGTAACATAATTAATGAAAAGTAAAGGGACCATTATGCAAAACGTTTTTTGGTTCCTTGGTGAATCAGGCCACTGGGCCACTTTATTTCTTTTCTTGGGCCGAAACTCCCTTAGCCCAAGGCAAAATCCAAGCAAAATGTACGGGCCAGACCGTAATCTTACCCCAACAAATCCAATCAAAAGGGTAGGCTTTTACCTCCTAAGCCCAAACGAAAAACCCAAGTAAATTAAACCAAACCCATTTACTAAACCCAACCAGATCCTCAACATTAATCTGCCCCAAAAGCCCTAAGAAGATATTAACCCAAGCCTTTAATCTATTTTACTAATCCAAGAAGGTAAGAAATCTAAAAAAAAATGCTGGACCTTAATCATGCATTAAATCCCAAGATTAATCTACACAACAAGTCACATATCACAATCAGAAGAAGATTAAAATTTTAAAATGGCAAAATTGGTTCAATTGCGAAAGTATTTGGGCCATAGTGAAATTAATTAAAATTTGGAGGTCAAAATGCAATTTGAGAAAAAGAACATGCAGCCTGTACGAAGACACTTTCTTCTTCAACATTTTTCCTTCTGCAACTTTCTTTTCACCATTTCTGGGTTTCATTTTCACCAAACGCACGAAACAAGTTCCCAAACAAACTAGCTCTTATAACTTATGTACTTTATTTCACAACCCAATGCTAAACATAAGCAGGAACAGGCCATAATCACAAAAATAATCTGAAGTCAAGCATGGTAGAAACATGAAACAAACCCAGCAGCAACAAAGTTCCAAACCCACGTCCAAAGAGTCTTGTTCTTCATAAAATGTGTTAAACCAAGCAAGAAAGAGCGTTATGGTTATCCGAGGAAACCTTAGAACCAGATTTGAGCGGGAAAAACACCGATGGAAGCAGATCTGACGGAGCTTTACACCAGGTTGCGGGTTGATCCACGTGTGTTGAAGCTGCAACTTTGGAGCTTCGATTTGGATGACTTACAGTCGTCTTTTCCACCGAGTCTCTGAACAAAAGTCGCTCCCCTCACGTCGTAGATTTAGCAGAAATCAAAATTTTCTTAAGCCGAGCTAAAATGGAGGAGATATGTGAGTCAAAAGATGGTTGAAAATCAGCTCTTTTTGCGAAAATTTTTCTCTCTTTCTCCCTCTCTTTTTCTTCTTTCTTTCTGTTTTTCTCTCTCCGTTCCTTGTTCCGCCGCCACCCCCCTTTCTTGCATTCTTTTGGAGCCTTTTTATGGGCACTCAAAACACCCCAAAACCTAGCATCTAGGGATCAGATTTAGAACGGCATTTTTTGTCCATTCCAAGCCATTAGATGGCTTTTAATCTGGAAGCTTCTTGTCAACTGGGACTGGGCTACGTGGTTTGGTACGGAAGGGTTAAAAGGGAAAACAAATGCCCAAAAAAAAAAGGGTGGAAAATGGCAGCTGGAAATTGGTACTATTTGCCGGTTTTTGTACCAGCTCTGTGAAGAATAAGGTGCGCGCGTGGTGCGCGTGCAACACGCGCGCGTGATTTTTTTTTCTTTTCTTTTTCTTCTTCTCTTTTTTTTGTGAAATTTAGTAGATAAAAAAATGCTTTTAAATCAATTAAAATAAAATAAGAGACACGAAACAGGAATAAAATAAAATAAAATAAACCTAAAATTGAAACAAATAAATCTAAAATTAAACTAAATAAATAAAGTTCGAAACCAAAAATTTGGTGTCTACAGTTTGCCCCTCTTTGTCTGAGTTGCGAAGAAACTCGAGACAAAGACGTAGACACCAAATACTCACCTGTGATTATTCGGCTGCAGGCTACTCGAACGACTGACGCTTTCGAAATGAGGACTGATCCCTTTAACAAAATTTTTTTAAAATGGGACTGACCCAGGCGAGAAACTTAAAACGGGACTGACCCGAACCAGAAATTTAAAATTGGACTGATCCAAAACTACCATGACATCGGTCAGTGGGATACCACCTAAGCCTGCCGAGGTTGGTGGCACAAAATCTCAGCCCAATGGGAAGAAGTGAAGTTGGTGGCACAAAATCCAAGCCCAACGTGATATTTGTGATGTTGGCGGCACAAAATCCAGGCCCAACGTGATATTTGTGATGTTGGCGGCACAAAATTCAGGCCCAACGTGATAAAGTGAAGTTGGTAGCACAAAATCCAAACCCAACGTGATATTTGTGATGTTGGCGGCAAAAAATCCAGACCCAACGTGATAAAGTGAAGTTGGTGGCATAAAATCCAAACCCAACGTGATATTTGTGATGTTGGCGGCACAAAATCCAGGCCCAACGTGATAAAGTGAAGTTGGTGGCACAAAATCCAAGCCCAACGTGATATTTGTGATGGTGGCGGCACAAAATCCAGGCCCAACGTGATAAAGTGAAGTTGGTGGCACAAAATCCAAGCCCAACGTGATAAATTGAAGTTGGTGGCACAAAATCCGGGCCCAACGTGATATTTGTGATGTTGGCGGCACAAAATCCAGGCCCAACGTGATAAAGTGAAGTTGGTGGCACAAAATCCAAGCCCAATGTGATATTGTGATGGTGGCGGCACAAAATCCAGGCCCAACGTGTGATAAACAAAATCCAGGCCCAACGTGATAAAGTGAAGTTGGTGGCACAAAATCCAAGCCCAACGTGATATTTGTGATGTTGGCGGCACAAAATCCAGGCCCAACGTGATAAAGTGAAGTTGGTAGCACAAAATCCAAGCCCAACGTGATATTTGTGATGATGGCGGCACAAAATCCAGGCCCAACGTGATAAAGTGAAGTTGGTGGCACAAAATCCAAGCCCAACATGATATTTGTGATGTTGGCGGCACAAAATCCAGGCCCAACGTGATAAAGTGAAGTTGGTGGCACAAAATCCAAGCCCAACGTGATAAAGTGAAGTTCGTGGTACAAAATCCAAACCCAACGTGATATTTGTGATGTTGGCGGCACAAAATCCAGGCCCAACGTAAAGTTTGTGATGTTGGCGGCACAAAATCCAGGCCCAACTTAATGGCAATGGTCAGTGGGATAAGATCGAACCATGTTATTCAATTGGTCAAGAAATTAAGCGTGATTGTCAAGAAAGGGGGAATAGAAGGGTGCGCGGCATACGCTGAGACTTCACCAACAGAAAATTAATCGTGATTTTGATTTGATTTGATTTTTTGTTGATGATTTTTCAAAAATAATTTACCCCAGTTTTGATCAATTATTGTACCACCGATCTTTCAATTTGCATTACGGCATGGTTGCTTCTCCTTAATACTTTGATTCACCTCTTCCTTGGTCCGAACCCTTCAATTCTTGGGTGACATTTCACAATCATATAAAATTTGCCCCAGTGTGTTGCTATTGGACCGTTGGACCTACAAAAAATAGAAATAACCGTAATGATAGATAATACCACCACCATCCGATCAATCTTGCTTTCAAGAAATGTGTAAACATGAGTACTTGGGCGTTTCTTCCTCGATGTAGCGAAAACTGAACTTTACTTTGTGAACTGTGTCAAGTATTCTCAACTTCCACCACTACCAAAACCCTTGGTATTTAGCCAATCATAGGGGTTGCCGTTTGATAAATTCTTAACCCAATTGCGCTCCCCCAATCACATCAGATCTTCTTGACTTTTAATGCTAATAAGACACTTGGTATCCAGGTAATTCCAATAAATCACAGGAATTGCCATTGGATAAATCCAAATAAAATGAAACCATGAAACAAATGAAAGAATATTCTATTTACACAACAATGATGAAAGTCTCCGTAATTTGAAAATAATCATTCATTTTGAAAGAAAATTAATTTAAGAAAAATGAACCTGTAAACTTAAAATTTTATGTACAATGAACCAAAACACTTTGATTCTCGAACAAAACGCCGCATTTGACCTTTTGGATATCGTTCCTCCGGAGTTTAATGTCGGCAACTGAACCACAAGGTGAACAGAAATTCTAATGAACTAAGTCACCAGCCTTTCAAATCCAAGCTTACTTCTCCTTATAAAATCCTACCTTAGCGCCCTTTCAGGTTTTCACTAAGGTTACCACTCCACCTTTTTATTTTCTTTCTTTTATTTTCTTTTCTTTTTCTTTTTCTTCTTTGTCTCTTTTTTCTCTTCTTTTTCTTTTTCTCTTTTCAAAGGTTCCATTTCGAGTTTTCACCTGAACCAATCCTTGTCAATTGCCCTTATCAACTCAGAAGCATTTTAAGAAATGATGGCACCAATGCGACAATCCTTCCTTTGCAAAATGGATAAAGGTGTATTGACATTATTTGCCATGTGACTTAGAAAATCTCCTGAAAGAGGTGATGCAAAGAACAGAAGTCAGGACTTTCGGCTTTTGTAGTGGGGTCAGGTGAGGTGCTAAGAAAAGTTAAGGCTTGAAGGCGGATTTCAAAAGAGGTTAAAGTGATCTGAAATCGCATTATTGTATCAACCCTATTTTAGGGTTAAATCACAACTTGCCCCAATTTATTCTGTTTTCTTTTATTTCCTCCCTTTTTTTTTCATTCATCTTTCGAAATTTTGAAAATTTGCCCCAGTTTATTTTTAACTGAGGCTTTCTTTTGTTCATTTCCTTTTCTTTCAACTTGCCTTCAAAATTTGAATTTGCCCCAGTGTGGGGTTTTCTCTCTTTTCCTTTTGCTTTCAAAACTAAATTTGCCTCAGTGTGGGGTTTGCGATTCTCAGAGGTTGCCAAATGAAACGATTTATTCTGAAGGCTCAAAAGGGGTAACTAGGGATATAATGTCTTAATGGGAAAGGAAGAGGGCCTGACTTTCATTCCATTCTTCGCATTAACTCTAAAAGAAAACTTTCATTTATCAGGCAAAGAATTTCTTACACATATCCGAATTGATCGGCTGAGAAAAACTTGTCCATTCTATTTCTGTGATAACAAGTGCTCCCCCAAGCAAAATATCTTTTGACAAATAAAAGGGTGCTGCCAGTTTAGTGCCAATTTGCCCTTAGCCTCCTCTTTGCACTGGTAAACTCCATTTCCACACTTTATCTCCTTTTTGAATAATCATGCCTTGTCCTTCTTATTGTAACATTTTTCAACTTTTCATTCAAAATGAATGCTAATTTCATTTTCTTAATGTTGACCCCGGTTCGGTTCGAGTTTCTCTTTATACCATCCGAGCCTTTTTGAACTACCGTCGGATGTCTCCTTATTACTCCTTTCATTTTGAAATTCAAATTCACATTCGTGAGATATTGTCATCATCAAACTTCAAAACAGTGATATCCAAAAGGGTCGGAGGATTTTATTCTTGGTCATTTGAAAAGAATGCGTAAGTAACAAAGAGTATAGAAAACTGTACATTTTATTGAATTCAAGATGAAGATCAAAACATGTCTTCAAAAGTCACTTGATTGAAAACTACTTTCAAAAAACCAGTTAAACAAAAAACACACGCGTGAACGATTTTTCATTGGTTTTAACCAAAACAATTCCCCAAATTTATCGAAACTCCCTTCAAGGGAGAGGAATCTCACTAATTCAACCCCTTACAGGATTCTCAAATTTCTTCATTGGGGATGGATGCCTCAAAGGCGTCCTTGTGTTCGAGAAAGGGATTTGTACTTATGCTCGGTCCTTGTTCACCCTTTTTCCTTAGCACTATTTCTCCGAATTCGATCATATCCTGGATTTTATGTTTCAATGCCCGACAATCATTGGTGGAATGCCCGGGAGCTCCAGAATGATAAGCGCAGACTGCTTGAGGGTCATAGTCAGAGGGAAAGCGCTTAGAATAGATCTTAGGAGGTATAACACCAATTTTCCCGGCAGCTTTCAATTGCTCATATAATTGGTCAACAGGCCGACCTAGATTGGTGAAGGTTCGGTATGGCGTTGAATTTTGGGTGTCACTGGTTTGTTGGTAGTAGTAATTTGGGCTAGGGGGTGGAATAGGTCTTGGGTTAAAAGGAGGGCGAGGTCTAGTTTGGAGATTTGGTTGAGGGTTTTGAAAGGGTGGTGCGAGTACATTTGGATAATTTGGTCGAGGTTGAGTATGGTGGATAGGACGGGAGTTTGGGTAGTATGGATAGGCTGATGAATAAGCAATGCGGTTTGAAAATCTAGGTCTGGCCGAGGGGCCCTGATCCCCAACAAAAGCAGTTTCCCCTTCTTTTCCCTTAAATTGGGATTTCTTCCCACTGTTATTCTGGCCTTGCAGAGCCTCTAGTTGCATCTTCAATGTTGACACATTAACAATTTTTTCGGCCTTCACAAACTCATCAAATTCTTCCAATTTATTAACAATTTCGGCAAAGGAACACCCAGTCATTCGAAAAATTTCCTCAAAATAGGGCGGGTCATGAGCTTTGATAAACGTGCGAACAATATCATTTTCAGTCATGGGAGGCTCCACTTTGGCTGCCAATTTTCTCCATCTCCTTGCATACGTCTTGTGATCCTCAGATGGCTTTCTTTTAGTCCCCTCAAGTGTGGCCCTCGTTGGAGCAAGCTCACAATTGTACTCGTATTGTCTTACAAATGCAGTTGATAAATCCACCCATGTCCTCATATCTTCAGGCTTTAAATTGGAATACCAGTCTAGTGCATCGCCTTCTAAGCTCTCGGGGAATAACCGAACTGGCAAGTTTTCATCATTTATTGGCTTGCCCAACTTGTTGGCAAACATTCGGAGATGCATCTTAGGGTTGCCCGTTCCGTCATACTTGCTAAACTTGGGCGTTTTGAAACCCATGGGCAATTGCATATCCGAAAATAGGCACAGCTCGTTGTAGTCCAGATCTCCTTGTTTGTTCAAACCTTGGCTTTTCCTTATGAACTCCTCAAACCGATCCAATCGCTTTAGCAAATTCTTATCTATCGACGCGGACGACTCCCCAGCTTCTGCTTTCCCTTGGGTGGCGGTATCCATGTTAAATGGCTCAGTGATGGAATAATAATGTGGTCCCTGAGGTTCGAGTGGCATATTCGGACTAATGTGTGAATAATTTTGGGGAATTTGGGGGTGAGGAGGATTGGTTTGGATAGCGGGTGCCTGGGTATGGGGTAGGGCATGAGTGAGATAGATAAAAGTTTCTTCATGCGGATTTGCAAAACGCGGGGTAAAGGGGGTTTGAGTATAGGGTAAAAGTATTGGTTGCGGTTCAGGTTGGTTAGTAGGTAAAGGCTCAGGTTGACCACCGCTACCACTACCAGCAACCAACTGGTCGATCACGCGCCGTTGTGTGGTCATTTCCATATTCAGCTCATTGAATTTATTCAAAACTTCGCTCAGTTGAGCTCCTCGGTTTGCCAAATCAGCTAACGGGGCCGTTACAGGCCTGTCGGATGATTCCAGGTGTGTACCCATGTTTACACAGTTTCTCAAAGCCCGACTGCGAGATCGTATAACGATGGGGCTTTTTGTGTAGCTATATTTGAAAAACACCTGAAAATTTAGGAAAAATCCCTATTTAGACTCCCTTTCTGGCTTAACTGCTGTTAAAAGAAAGAAAGAGAAAAAGAAAAAGACACGAGTTAGTAAAAATTAAAGTAATTCGGATGCATGTCCTATGGGGGAACCCTTTTTGTGTCAAGGGTAGGCCTAGAATGAAAATGCAATCCTCCAGAGCAGGAACTATACAATACCTGATGGATCCAATCAACTTATTGAGTGAAAAATAATTAAAAATAAAAATTGTCCAATTGGAGTGAAAAGGGGACATTTGTCCCAAAAATGAGGACAAAGTCCGAATGGATCGCCTGTTTTGATCGACACGCAAAATGATGTGTGAAAAATTATACTCTTAAAAGGATTACATGTCTCGACTAATTTATTCAGTGAAGCTTAGACTTAAACCCTAAAAGGGAAAAAACAAGTCAAAGGGATTGGATGGAATTGATGATTTATTCAAAATTGACTAGATCACCCCAAAAATAGGTAAACTGATCAAATGAATTGAATGAAATTGATGATTTATTCAAAATTGATCAGATCACCCTAAAAAGGGTAAATTGGTCGAATGAAATTGATGATTTATTCAAAATTGACCGGATCATCCTAAAAAGGGGTAAATTGGTCAAATGAATGAAAATGATGATTTATTGACTAAATTGTCCTAAAATGAATGAATTGACAAAATGAAATCGATAAATAATTTGATCAAATGAATTGAATGGAATTGATAGTTTATTCAAAAATCAATGGAATTATCTTCCCTTTGGTAGTTTCAAAAATGCATTGCGATGCATTAGCCTATGAGCCTCCTACAATCAAGATTTGGCCTCAATAAGTTTACCATCTCAATAATGAGGAATTATTTGCGAATTTCTTCAAGTTAATGTCCTTTAAGCAAGGAATTTTTACCAACTATGTTAAAAATGGCCAAAGAATGATTGTTTGATGCTCATATTCTAATGTACCAAAGATCGCCCCAGGGTCATGGAAAGGATCGGATCCTACCTTACCTTGTGCACTACCCCTTTAGATGATACAAAATGTAAACGTGCAAGTCTCTTTGGATTAAGTATCCGAGACACGAGGTGGCTTATTCCTAACGTGGGATCCCCTAAATGGCATTCCCTTTCTATGGTTTATGCGTGGTGCCAATTTATTAAAGCAGTAAAATATGCAATTCGAAATGAAAGATGACCTAAGGAGCCCTTTATTTGCCAGGGTGAGCCTAAAATGAAATGTGTTCATGTTACAAATGCGAAGCATTGAAAACGTGTCACATCAAATGGGGTAGGCTCCTAGAGAGTACCATGCCAGGTCTCTTATTTTCTAGAGCTGATGAATGCAATAGAGACAAAAACCAAGAAAAGTTAGTTCAATGAGATAAATACACATAACACATTGTAGCGAAACAACACAAAGAGATAAAGCAATAAAAAGAAAAGAGGGGTTGGATCCCTCCCCTCGTGAATAGTGTCCCTAATAGGGTAAGGCAGACTCTACCCTAGGTAAACTATCATAAATGCATGAGGCTGGGGCTCACTAATGTATCTAGACTCGATAGGTTTTAGGTCCCCGAACCTTCAGACTTGGAAACCAAGGGTTATCAATCCCAAGGTTCTTTGTCGGTGGCTCGAGCGATTCCCCAGACATTGCTACGCACACATCGTGTCACGGCTACATGTCATGAGTGAATCTATCAAAAATCCTCAACCTTCAACTAAAAGCTAAAGGCTATGAACCCAAAGCTTAAAATGGAAGATTGAGTGACCCCTCGGATCATGCTACGCACACATCGTGTCGCGATCACAAGTCCAAGTGAGTCGCCTAAAATCCTAATAGGGTGGAGTGGCGTGACAAGCCACTAAAAGAAAAATAAATGAGAGGTAAAAAATTAAAGCGTATGCACGTATGCTAGTGCTCGTTTGGAGGGAAGGGATCGAGAACCAACGCGAGGCTCTAGGGTAATATCCCCCCATCCCAAATGCAATGCAAAGCGCGGAATCACATAAATAAACCATCCATCCATCAAAACAATCGTACGCCAAATGGGAGAGTGAATGAGTTGATGCAAAACCCTAAAAAGGAAAAAATGCAATCCTAGACATCCAAATGTAATATATAAGGAGGTTAAAAGAAGAAAAAGATTGACTAAATCAAATTTGCTCGGACACTCTAAGTCCCTAGTGGAGTCGCCAGCTGTCACGCCCCATTTTTTATAAGAAAAATAAATGGTTTAAAAAAGTGAATTTTTTTGATTGAAAATGTGATTTTTGATTTAAAAGGAAAATGGGTAAAGAAAATGAAATGGGCCTAAATGGGACTTTGAAATGCGACGATTTTGACCCAAAATAAGTTTAAAAAAGGGTTTTGAAATAGAAATCGGAGTCGCCACTTGGTATTGAGTTAAGGTGTACCAAGTCACCTAAAATGAATTTTTTGAAAAAAAAAGAAAACCCTTTTTAAACGACTCCTAGTCTACGAAAATCAAAGGAAAGGTTCGGGAGTCACATTTGACGAAGGGGAAGGCAAGGAAAAAAATCCAAGGCACCCCTTCGACCTAGCCAAGGCTAGTTGCGTAATTTAGTCAAAGATTTTCTTATTTTAACCTAAAGATTTACCACATTTGGATGTACTATATGAATGCAAACCCTAGACCTAGGGGGACATCGGGGCAAAATTTCTCTTCAAAAGATCGAATGGTGCCAATCACACCAATTGTGATGCCCAATGTGGACTCTTTGGAGAACTCACGAATAATGCAAAAATATGGGACTCTAAGAAAAGGGAAAGGATAAAATAATTATAGAAATATACATGTCTTAAAGGAATGCATCATGTCGGGTACGGGGGACTAATGTTCGTGACTCAATTTTCCCTTTTAATAGAGGGAATACGAGCGTGCTAAGGCCAGATGGCCAAACTCGTCCATATCCCATATTCAAGGGGTTACTCCCTAACCTATGCACGCAAATGAGCTTAGTAACTAGAATGAAATGCAAAAAACCTATGATCATACTTCAAATGTGGGAAAAGGGAGAAGGGTCATGCAAAAATGTAAAAATACTAAAAAGAAAAAAAAATGCATGGACATGAGATGAAGGCATGCGAATGTACTAGCGAGGGACGGTCCTATTGGATCTAGCATTGGACTAGTCCTTCACTAGCGCTCTCTCACAAGCATTGGACTTGTAAGAGCTCGAGGGGAAGACCATGACTAGCGTTGGACTAGCCACGGTTTCGTGCATTTGCATCCATCATACATACATAAGTAAATATGCATAATTAAAGCGAGTAGGCATGTGAGCACGTAATTCACATAACACATAACACATAAGCATGCATATCTAGATGCCAAACCCTAAGAAAGCAATTAAACACATAGCACATACGCATGCAAATCACACAAAGAAAAAACAAAGAAAACCCTAACTATTACATTAGGAGGGGGAAGCCTACTACAATCTAAAAAGGGAAATAAGAAGGAATAAAACAATTAAATCCCTAACTATTACAATTTTGGCATTCGAGTGCCTCCCAAAATAATCAAAATTAAATTTAAAATTAATACGCAAAATTAAAACAAATACATAAATAAATGAAATAGAAATAAATAAAAATAATAAAAAAATTCAAAAATCATGCAATTACACACATAAAATCACATAGGAGCACATAGAGAGATTTAAAATAACACAAGAAGATACCTCTCTTGACGTAGTAACTAATTGGGGTGTGGATTTGCCCTATTTAACTCCAAAATTAGCAAAAATCATCAAGGCACCAATTTAATTAACAAATAATTCATAAAAATGGAAATAAGCATGAAGTCAGTCAATTGAAGCGTTTAAATGGAACATAATTCATAATTAAAGAGGAAAAGCAACTTCTATTTAAGACAACAAATCTATTAGGGACCTAATTGCAAAAATTAAGAAAGTTTTAGGGGTTAATTTGTAATTATCGTAAAAAGATTAGGGGTCAAAATTGAAGAAAATAAAAGTCCAGGGACCTATTTGAAATTAAATTAGGGACCTAATCGAAAGAAAAAAAAGGTTTTAAGGCCGTAACATAATTAATGAAAAGTAAAGGGACCATTATGCAAAACGTTTTTTGGTTCCTTGGTGAATCAGGCCACTGGGCCACTTTATTTCTTTTCTTGGGCCGAAACTCCCTTAGCCCAAGGCAAAATCCAAGCAAAATGTACGGGCCAGACCGTAATCTTACCCCAACAAATCCAATCAAAAGGGTAGGCTTTTACCTCCTAAGCCCAAACGAAAAACCCAAGTAAATTAAACCAAACCCATTTACTAAACCCAACCAGATCCTCAACATTAATCTGCCCCAAAAGCCCTAAGAAGATATTAACCCAAGCCTTTAATCTATTTTACTAATCCAAGAAGGTAAGAAATCTAAAAAAAAATGCTGGACCTTAATCATGCATTAAATCCCAAGATTAATCTACACAACAAGTCACATATCACAATCAGAAGAAGATTAAAATTTTAAAATGGCAAAATTGGTTCAATTGCGAAAGTATTTGGGCCATAGTGAAATTAATTAAAATTTGGAGGTCAAAATGCAATTTGAGAAAAAGAACATGCAGCCTGTACGAAGACACTTTCTTCTTCAACATTTTTCCTTCTGCAACTTTCTTTTCACCATTTCTGGGTTTCATTTTCACCAAACGCACGAAACAAGTTCCCAAACAAACTAGCTCTTATAACTTATGTACTTTATTTCACAACCCAATGCTAAACATAAGCAGGAACAGGCCATAATCACAAAAATAATCTGAAGTCAAGCATGGTAGAAACATGAAACAAACCCAGCAGCAACAAAGTTCCAAACCCACGTCCAAAGAGTCTTGTTCTTCATAAAATGTGTTAAACCAAGCAAGAAAGAGCGTTATGGTT